ATAGCATTGTGCGGTGAGAACCGCAAGGTTCGAACGATCAGTGTTTGATCAGCTACAAGAGTTTGAGTCTTGAAGAAAAGTCATCGAATGACAAGTGCCTAGATGTGCTTCGCAATGCTGAATTCAAAAATCGCACTGGTGAGATCGAAAAATGAAAAGATCAGGAGATACTCGGAATTTTTCCGAAAAGTCGGTTTTTCGAAGTTTTTGACGCCGTCACAGTATTTTGAGGTTTTCTGCATGAAAACTCGATCAAATCGAAAAAGTAAGGTCAGATTCGCGATCAGCAGTGTCCAACGAATCAGAATATGTGTTTGAAAATTCAAAAGCTTTTCCATTTGATTTTGGAATTAGCGGCACCTTACAGAAAAATATATAAATTTATCGCAAATTCCAGTTACTATTGTCCATGATAAGTCAGTTATAACATGTGTTTAATTTACACATTTTGTATTCATGATTTCATATTTCGTTTTAGATTGGCGTATAGACGATTCTCAATTCAAAAAATCAAGAAATGATAATCGTACATTTCGTGGTATCCAGCTATCGAACGGTCTTGCAGCTCTTCTAATCAGTGATCAAACGACTCCAAAAGCTTCTGCTGCTCTCTCAGTGCACGTTGGCTCATGGCAAGATCCTTTAGAAGCACAAGGCTTAGCTCATTTTCTCGAGCATATGCTGTTCATGGGTAATTTGAATTTATCTCATATCATCCGCTTATTTCTCAAATGCTCATTCTTAGGTACAACAAAGTATCCAGACGTAAATGAATATTCTGATTACATTCGTCAACAGGGTGGTGTCTACAATGCATTCACCGCTAATGAACAAACGGTTTACTATTTTGATGTGAACAAAAACGCGTTTTCATCCACATTAGGTAATTCGTCATGTTGCTCACACCAGAATATATCACAGAACATGTTTTAGATCGTTTTTCGCAGTTTTTTGTGTCGCCATTATTAACTCAGATGTGGTATGAGAAAGAGATGGAGGCGGTGAACAGTGAATATTTAAACAGATTTGCCATAGACAGCGTCAAGTTCTCCCAGATTCTACAAAACTCGTCTAATCCAAAGTTTCCATTCTCGCAACTGAATGTTGGCACACTGGAAACACTGAGAAAGAATAATACTGGCGCTTTTCTGCACGCATTTTATGAAAAGTATTATATTGCGCGAAAAATGAAACTGGTCCTGATAGGTAAATATACGTTTGTTCACGACTCTGTTTTATGATGAATCTCATGCATAGGTACTGAGAGTGTTGATCAACTAGAAGAATTGGTTGTCAACTTATTTTCACCAATTCGCAATGTACCTCAAACTGATTCGAACGAATTCAGTTTCAACGGTGAAGTGCCGTTCCCCGAGACGCCGAAGAACACTTACAAACCGCGGCGAATTCTCATCAAACCCACAAAAGAACTTCATCTAATGACTATCTACTGGTTTTTACCGTCGAGCTTTAGCGAATACGAGAGTGAACCACTCGAATTCGTTAAGCATCTACTTAGCTACGACTGTGACGGATGTCTTGTGCGATTGTTGCGAGAACGAGGATGGGTGAATGCATTCGAAATCGAGCAACGTCTACCTCAACACGTTTTCAGTCTTTTCTCCATTGGAATGCAACTGAATGTCAATAGTAAGTCATAATCATGCTCACCGCGGATCCAGATGATAAAATGCTTCTCTTGCTTAGGCGTCAGCGAAGTCGATGAAATTGTGGATGCCATCTACACCTACATCGATCTCCTCAAACAGGAGATATCAAAATGGCGAGATTTCTGGTTGATGATGCAGCAGACGTCGTTGTTAACTTTCATGTTCAAAGAAAAGACAAAGTCGATCGATGACACAGTCGACTTAGCTTTCTTTCTTCAACAGAAACCAATGAGTCACATTCTGAACAATCCTGAACAATACGTGTATGATGAAGCAAAGTTTTGGACATTTTTGAACGCATGTTCGCCAGACAATATGCAAATACATATTGTAAGCAGTGTGCTAGGAAATCAAAGCACACAATGGCATGTGGAACAGTGGTTCGGTGGAAGATTCATTAATGAAGCTATTTCACCGTCACTTATTCAACGGTGGCAGTCGAGAAAGTTTGATCCGAGTAATAATACATATCGACTTAATTTTCCAGATCTAAACCCGTATCTAAGTAAGTGCATGATGTATAATCTTGCTTCATATGTCAATTGTAAATCTGTTAACACGATTAAAAACGTTGTGATATACACTAGTGCTAGAGCTAGTATGTGTAACATCTTACAGTAGGCACTCTTCCATACAGCAGGCGGACATCTGGTTTTTTGAATTAAAAAATGATTATTTTAGCATAATATGCTCTTACTATGTGTCAGATATTAGTAGAAGTAAACAAGGTCGAATTCGAAAAAAAATGTTTTTCAACGAAATATTCCTGAGGGGACCCTTGCCCTGAATTTTTGCCAAAACATGTTTTACTTGTAAAACTAACAGACTATATATCATTCAATGCAGTTTTTCACGCTGATCCCGAATATGTATATATTGTTTCCATAAAGTTTTTCGGAAGACGAAAAACTTCAATAGTACCTCAAAAGCTACTCTTTTACAAAACCCATAAATCCTCAACGAATGAGTTGAGAGATTTTGAGAGATCACCGTTGATTCAGCATGTGTCAAGGAACATTTTGATAAAAAAATAATCTGGATTAGACTTTCGCGCGCTTCAGCGCTGGCATTTTACTGAAGCCCTATGTTTTTCATTCGAATTATATTAATAAAAGTTTTTTTCTGCCACTAATTATAAGTGTTTTTAAACCTTTTCTCATACGTTTAGATAGCTCATTTCGAGGGTTTTCAGAATATGTAGTCAGTTTTGTTTTCACTACATTTCATTTACGAAAAAAAGGATTTTTCCAGTAAACCGTCAGTTTAAAAGAAAGTTTTCTTCGTCAAGGAAAATCATAGAACAAAAATTCTTTCGTCATCATATCGGCCGTTGTTCGAAGTGTAGAAACCACCATTTAAAACGTGGAAAATGAAACTTGCGTTTTTTTGATAAAAGAAGGTCTGCATGCTCACTGGACATCTCGCATAATTGTTCCTTGCATATCAGGTTCGGTGTTGGAAGCTGTGTGATTTAAAACGATTACTACCAAAGGAGGAAAACTTCCTGGCCTATCTGTCTTCACAGTATTTTCATACTTTTGAAGAGAGAAAATGTGTCACACATCACTGTATGATAACAGAAGTTTTTCAGCGTTTTCTTTGTTCATCGAGATTCATTGGTAATGAGAGAGTGAGTCGTACTTTGCAAGTATCAGAAACAAGAAATGCGTACTTCTACAGTATAGGTATGCACCAGTATCAGTATTTTACTGAAAACTGATACTGATGAATATTGAAAATACTGGTACTAGAGCAAAATCTCATACGGCTTGGCTTGTCCAAGCGTGATGCTGTGACATTTTTGACACTGTAATTGTTACTTTTCACGTAAAATATAAGACCTATGGTACTGGTTCTTGCATCATTTTACGACAGAAAAATAATTCTTAAATCAAAATGATCCATTTTGTAGAGAATTCAATTCTCAATTCAATGGTATGTTTCTAAATTTTTTGAACAAAGTGTCTGGGTCAGGAAATTGAAATTAAACCTTTTAAAAGTTTTATATTGAAAACTAATTTTTATTCAAAACCAAGGTCATATTTGTGATCAGCATGAAAAACTGCATCTAGTAGTGTGGCTCTATCGATTTTTTGATGGGAAAAATTACAAAAAAATTTGATCAGCGATGTATCGAGTTACCTGGACAAGCCGCATAGCAGTAACAGAAATACGCTCCAATACGCTTATTCCTTCTTAATATCATTTGAACGTTTCCTGTGTTTTCAGAGGACGTGAAGGAAATCGTTAATACAAATACGACCGTATCAACGTCAGATTTTACCGATTATCCAGTTCCTATTCATAACGATCAAGGCCTCATGGTTTGGCAACAATACGATACCGACTTCTTGCTACCAAAAACAGTGCTATTCATTCGCTTTCTATCAAACTTGGTCGTCGATAATCTGGAACTTCAGGCATTTATAGGCGTTTATTCGTCACTATTGGCTGAATCGATGAGAACAGAAAAACATTATGCTGAACAATTAAGCAGTACGTTTGCCACTTACTCAAACTATAACGGAATGACGCTGGGTACGTGAACTGATGTTGTCTAGAACTCCATCAACTGTTGCTAATATTTTAGTGACCAGCAGCTGGACGGCGATGTGTGAACGGATGTTAAAAACGTTCATCATTCATTTTCTCTCCACGCCGAACATCAATGAGCAAAAATTTTTGTCTATACGACGAATAATAGTTGATAGCTTATCCAACTTTAACCAGTCGAGTTACATAGATCAAGCGTTCACCTACGTTGACATGTGGACGACAAAGCGATCCTACTCAGTAGTAGAGACAAAACAAGCGATAGAAATGATTACGTGGAATCGAACTCTAGAGTTACGCAAAATATTTATTGATTCTATCCTACAGATTGAAGTATTCGGACATGGCAGCATGAATCACGTCATATTAACAGGTACGATCTTTGATCTCGATTCACATATATAACTAACAAAGCTTGAGCATTATAGATTATGCTCAAACACTGGTAGTTAAAGCGATGTATGAACATGGATATCATCCGATATTGTCTTCAAGTGCCATAATTCAGCAATCCAAACAGCTGCAGGTACCAACAACAGGCAACTACGTGTACCGAAACACAATTGTCGATGCTACCAACTCTCTCGTTGTTCAACTGTTTCCTGTTTGCTCCTATCAGAATATCACTTGCTGCATTCAACTCGACTTGCTCGTCGCTTCGCTATCGAGCGAACTATTCAATGAACTTCGAACCATTGAACAATTGGGATATATGGTTGGAGCTGAACTCAGAACATCGGACAATATGATATTTAAATCTATCTTTACCTATCTCCAATCGAACAAACTGAATGCGGCTCAGGCTGATGAACGAATCGAACTGTTTCTAAGGACATTTTACACAAAATTTATCCTGCAGAAAAGTGCGGAGAAATTTCAACAAGAAAAGGAAACGTTGATTGTGCTCAAAAGAGCGCCACATTTGACGTTGGCGGCTCGTGCGACAGGTATGTTGCACTCTGTTCAACGACTTATTATCGATAGTGGTATATATTATTTTAGCTCAGTGGCAGCAGATTTTTTCAAAAAATTTGGATTTTAACCGTATTGAGAATGAAGTAGCAGCGATTGAAAATTTGACCATCGATGGCTTCCAACAATTTTACCTTCAGTTCATATTACCTACAACGGCGTCGGATGCCACTACTCGATCAAAATTGTCGATTCAATTATTTCCACAAAATTATTCACTGGCAAATCTACCCGATTCAACAGGCGATGCGAGACCAACTGTCGTGTTGATGGATGATGATGTACAAGCACAGAAACAAAACTGGACAGAGTGGACTATACAATAAAAAAGTGCACCACATCAGCTGTTAAATTAATTTTTTTTAATCTAAAATATTTTCTGCTCATTTGGCCAATAGAAAACCCTAGATTACTACTTTATGCTGAGCAATATGTTTTACAATCTGTTAGTGTACCAAAATGATTCTGAGTTTGTGGAGTATCTTTCGGCTACTTTTAATCATAGTTTAGTTTGAGCTAAGATATACGAGATTCAATCTCACAGGACAGAAAAAGACCAAAGTGTCTGTAACAACATTATTTTAATTTATTTACATAAAAAATTGAATTAAATCGTTAGTCCATTTATATATTTCGAGCGAGTTAGTCTTCAACTTCAAATTATTCCTAAGAAAAAGAATGAGAACTCATTCGATCTATAGAAAAAGATTCATTTTTTAATGGCAGAGGGTACCAAAAGCCTTGGCGTATGACAATGCAACTGTTATATCGCAGTAACAAAAGTAGCCAAAGAGCTGCAGTCCTTAGTTTTAGAAAATAATTCTCGTAAAAATGGGGCGTTTCTCAAATTTGATGTTGCTTTTGCATTGAATAGTATTGCCACTACTTACCATCTAGAATGCGTCATGATACTGCTGTCGTTTTAAACGACATCGGTGATGTATTGTGTAAACACCGAAAGACAGTTGTCTCAGCTAAAATTCAAAAATATTCAAGAACAATGGCTTTCTATGACCCACCAAAATCTGGCCGTAACCCTATATCAAATAGGGAGTGCTTTTCTTCTGCTTCGATTCGATGAAGCTTCGGAATATCATTTGAGCGCACTTAAAATAGTACAAAATGCCGATAATGTTGGCCATAATTTTATTGTTGACAATTTAAGTTGTTGTGGTAATATTTTCTAACACAAGCATGGGCTCAAACAAGCAGAGGAATATCACAATAAACCATTAAAAATTAGAGAAACACTCATTCCGACTACCCCTCTTGTTCTGAAGCAAAGTTTAATGGATGTTAGAAATATTTATTAGGCCTCCTCTCCCACCCCCACCTCCTCTAGAGGCTTGCAATCTGACCCGACCCTAGGATCGGGTCGGGCTCGGGTTGAACATTGTGCGGCGCAATTTAAAATATAGATAATAATTTCAGTTTTGTATTAATCGTTGAAAAGGTAACTCTGCTGGAGTTTTCGGTTGAAATACTTATTTCAGAACAACTGCATCTGAAGACCCAACGAGGTAAGATGCCCAACTACGTTTTTAATGATATTATGCCAGTTAACAGAGGAAAGTGAGGAGATAAAAGCCCTCAAAGCAGGACCCATATCAGTTCTTTCAAAAGTTGTGAATTATTTTGTTCTAAAGGAACATGGTGTGTAGTAACAGTAATAATTCTGTAACCCAGTCAGAACAAAGAATTAAGAAGTGAAATTATCTTTTGTACTTTCTCTAATAGTCTCCTAATATTACAGAAAATTGAAGCGTTATATTTTCCTAATTTCGCTTGCCATTGAACTTTCCTTCCTGAAGGAAAACAATGTTTTTCCAAACTGCGCAATTTCAATGATAGCATTTCTCTTTCATCAGAGGTGATATTTATAATTTAGAAAGATATAACGTTCAGATTTTCTGAAATACTAGTAGACTATTAGCAAAGGTCACTCACCTGAAATGCGATGCCCTCCACTAAATAAATAGGTAAATAAAAAGACATAAACTAAAAAACAAAAGAAAAGAGTAAAAATTTATCGGATTGGTTCGGGTTACGTTTTCTTAACCCGTGCAGGTCTCTTCCCCCCACCCCCTGGAACATCAATATAGATTTTTTCATAAAAGACCCATTTGAGCTAAGCACATGATTGAAGAGCCCAAGGTGTCTACTCTTAGAATCCATACTATTTATGCCAATATCAAAGATTTCTGAGCATTTTGAACAAATATTCTAAACGCCCTAGAAACCATATTCTGGTATTTCAATAAGATACCATAATCAAAAAGGGCCTAGTGGCTCCAGTCCGTAGAGTAGACATTTGTGGTTAAGGTGAGACATCTCCCAGCATCGAGCGATACTTTGATCAAAAAAGTTATGAAAGTTTTATTAACAGCCTTAAAACATATGTTATACGCTAGCTCCACTATAGCTCAAAAGTGCCTTTTCCTACGTGATAAACACTGTCAGAAAGATTTCTCCATCAAATTAAGCGCTAGAGAGCTCGAATCGATCTTAGGTTATAGCTAAGAAATATGGGAACAACGTAAAATAGCCCGCTTTTTGATTTAGACCATCGTGCTTTTACATTGTTCAAAGTTATACACCAGTTTTTTTTGAACTTTGAGGTGAAATCCTTCGGGAAATAAAACAAAGAAAAAATTAAAAAACCCGGCTATTTTCCATTGTTACTCTAACTTCATTTTATATCTTAAAACCGGTCCGAGCACTCCAGTCGCCTTCTGAGAGGAGAGGAGAAATCTGTCGAACAGTAGATGCCCCCATTCTGCAGCAACTCCATTTGTTTGAAACTATTTAGTTCTGCGAAGTGACGTGTCTGAATCGTTGATCAGAAACGCAGGTCAATAAATAGAATTAATTTGTGAATGAGTCTTTAAGCCCAGTTTTTAAACTCAATTTTTCCATTAGTATGGACAAAGTGTCTAAAGACGAATTGATGAATCGCAATATTTGAACGTAAAAATGATACATTAATTCGCATTTTATCATTGTTTTGCGAATTCGGAGCGAATTCGTAATTCAGTGCGAACTGACAAAAATGATGAAAAAATAATCAAAAAGTGCCTCTTTTGTTCCTCTTGCCAATTCGTAAACTGGGACGAATTCGTAGGCAAGAAATTTTGGCTGCCACGAATTCGTAAACATATGATTATCTAGTCGATGCATTAGCATTGCGAGATGAACTTCATGTTTTAAATAATGTTTTCATCGATCCAAATATAGTTAAAGTAAGTCAGGCCTTCTCCTATTGCCACTAGACGAGAAATAAGCATAGAAGAGCAGAGCCGGACAAATCGTTTTGTTTGGAGTTACAAGTCATCGTTGACTTAAAATTTTGTCGATAGATGACTTAACTTGACTTTCGTTTGACGAAGAAAATAACGAAATTTTTCGAGTCAAGTCATTAAACACTCAAAAATTCATGTCAAGGCATTTTCGAGTTAACTTATTCATCTCTGCAGAAGTAGACTTAATGAAGAGAAAAGTACTGTAGTTAATAGCTAGTTTTTTCGCTTAGCTATTGCATGCGTCCGATGATGACATTGAATGGTTACAAAGAGATTTTACTGTCTACATCGTAAACTTATTCGACACTTTTTATGTACCAAAGCAGTTAAATTTACCGTTAGGCTTGGATTATCTTCTTGAAACATATTGCAACGTTCATATAAACAAGCAAAAGTATCACAATGCGGGTTGGCGAATACGGTTAGTCAACGAACCAACTTTGACCTTCAGTTGAACTAATGCTTTGTTGCTGTTTTTTCTGTGTATTTTCGGACCACTATCAGATGATTTTCTCAATTATGCCAGTTGGGAAACACATTATTTACTATACATATAATAGTATAACGTACATGCCAAATGATTTTATATGTACTAACTGTGCATGTTCTTTTTTTCTGCTTAGAACTGCACAGCAATTTTATCAATCGTTTCTTCCTGAACATCCATCTCAGATTCTGACACAACATATTGACAAAATTTTGGATTTTTACTACCGGTGGACAATCGTACAGTGGAAGTACGCGTGTGCTTTGTGGCTTAACTGCTGCATGCCCTGGGAAAACACCAGGGATTCAACAACGGAATTGATTATTGATATGCCCAATGATGTATTACAAGAATTGAAAGAAAAACTAACATTGAGAAAACTGGTGGAAAAAATTTATGAAACGGAAAAATTATGTAGAATACCAATGTCGATTAGATTTGTTATTGATGAATTTGATTATAATTGAGTCAATTTTCCACAAGTTCTAAATATGAAAGAGAATATCGATGGTAAGTGATTAAAATATTGTGTGATTCCCGTTACTCTGTAATTTATCCTTAACTAACTTCCCTCAGATTAATCACGTTTTTTTGGACACTCAAGTGCTGGTGATATGAAAAAAGTTGAATACATATGTGTCAATAGAACAAGTGAACGATTAATCGATTATAAACAACCACAAGAAGATGATAAACCAATAGAATATACACATGATAGTAAGTTTGAGAATTATTTGTCCTAGAAGAGTATTTCCAGTATTTCTTTCCTGCTTAGTTAAGCAGTATGACAATACTCGATTAAGAAATCATGTGGCAAGGAGAACGGCAATTGGAGCAAAACACACTGGCGCACATCGAATTGGATACACAACTGAGCGTCGTAAACGACGTCAAACTGAACGTCGTAAACAGTGTAAATATAAACGTCAAAGGCAAGTGAAACTTTATTAACACTATTTTGGCTTAATGAAAAACCTTTTGTTTATTTTTAGAGGATACTATTCTGATTAATGTGGGTGTGTGGAATCGATAATGGAAGCAATCGTGCGCTTTGCGGCTTCACTCCTTCACCTCCCCTATGTATCATCAATTGTGGCTGATTTATATAAAAACCAGTACTGTATTGATGATACATAGGGCGGGTGTGTGTGTGAAGGAGATCAATAAACGTTTTAGAGTGATACAATTAAACATTGTTCTTTTTTTTAAAGAAAATACACCACTGCGTATTCTTCACGTGACAGTAACTGCTTATTGCCCTTGCATTACAGCTTTAAACATTTCCTTTCTTATTTGGAATTTTGACCTTTATAGTAATTTTCCACAAATATACGACAACTTTAAGGATAGTAATGTAATACATAGATGTCACCGGTCAAGATTTTATCGTCTGGACCGGTAACCGGTCGAAAAATTTCTGGTCGGATCGGCCGGTTGGGAGTTCATATATTTTCTTTTGGCCGGTCGAAACCGTTTTCTTGTGAGCCCTTTGGGCTCCTTCAAGCAGAGACAGATTGGCAAGAGAAGATGACCATCGAGCTTAATGGTAGGCTGCACTGCGTAGCTATGGGTGGTGGCATTGCAGAGCGGACAGATGCAACTGTTACCTTCTCTCCGTTGTAGCTCAACGTTCAAATAGAGTGTAGCTCAACTTCGATCCCACTTTGATCTGTGTTAATAACCTCGTTCGCTTCATATTTCGTCAAACGCTTGTGAACGTCGGTTACGAAGTCATTCATTGAAGCGTTGATCGTCTGCTGGTCATCCACTTCCCGTTTTGTCACATCTGAAAAGCAGATGTTCTAGTAAATTTTGTTTCAAACTATTTCTAGACGAACTGAAGTTTCGCGTAAAACCGACAAGTCTGAAACTAGTAAAAGCCTCTTTTTTCCACTTTGATCTGATTTTAGAAAACAAGAGTGCTTTCCACAGGTTCCTGAAGGCTGATCACAAATCTCTCACCTCCGTTACCTTGCGCGAGATGATATTGTGTTTGTATTTGAAAGTGTACAGTCAGTAGTTTTGAAGCCACAAAATTGTGTAAAGACTCGTCCATAGCTTTTTTAAAAGCCCACCGACGAAGATCAATATCGTGCACGGGCAGGATGTGCTTACGAGTCCGTTAGAACATGTGAAATACATGATCCTCAACCTTATCAACCTTTTGGTTCTTCGTCCTGTGTTTCGCAAGATAATGACGAAATTTAGCGATATAGGTGTGATGCGCGATACGCCGGAAGTGATGTTTCACTGTGTTCCACCGTCGCTTCGTTTTCCAGTTTTCCAATTGACCTCATCATAGAAACTGACTGCGCTGGCCATGTAGTCAAGTGAAAATTCTTTGCACAACGCCATCTCTTTGAATGACTGTTGAGAATCGACTCGAGCACTTCACACAGAAGTCCGACCACTTCACACTCACGGTTTGTGACAGTATTCGTGGCAGCCGAAGTGCTCCAAAAAGCAGCAGTAAATTCGATACTCGATCAGCGGGAACCTTCATGACGTTTGTTCGATCGATCATTTCGAAGTAGAAGCGACATAGACTGATATCAACTACTAGAAGAACATGAAAGAAAGAATGTGGGCATACAACATTCAGCACAGGATGGCATGCCAGCGAAGAAGAAAAATGGCAGGATAGATAGTGTATCATCCTGATCCATCCATCAAGCATTATTTTGTGGCTTGAAATGAAATCAGAAAAAAATAAAGGATTTTGAGTGCATTATGAGTTGATGAACAACGAGTAGAAGTGTTATTGATTTGACTTGACCTAACGCTTAATCCGAAACAGCAGGATCAAGCAGTGCATGAGACTACGAAAACTTTCACGTTTTAATGCTCTATTGTTCTCCAGGAAACAACCATTTATCGCTTCACTTCCTCTTTTCATATATACTTTGAGAATTCGATATCTCGAGAATACAGGCGCGAGGGCCCGAATCCTTTTCAGGGTTTTCACACCTCATCAAGGTCTACTTATAGCCAAAAGATGCAGTCTAAACGGCTTAATCACCGAAATAGGTTCCCCGGTAAGCTCTAGTGCAAAAGGGGTTACGTCTATAAGGGATCTCGTATTCATTTTGGTGGTGTAGAAGTTACAACACATGACGGACGAAAACGATTTGTAGTTTTAATATAATATATAACCGAGCTAAAAACTATTTTTATTTTGTCCTTATCTAATCTCAACGCAGATTTATCACGCAGTAAAAAGTGATTGAGATTTATACTTTTGGTATCCAAAACTTTCTGAAAAACATGTATCAATAGTGCACGTTGTGTATTGTATAGAGGACATATTGCGAAAAAGTGTTCTACTATTTCACTATTAGATCCACATACACAACTCACATCTGTTACTAAATTCCGCTCCAACAAGTACTGATTCAACTGACTAAAACCAACTCTACATCGCAGAAAAGCGATTCTATCAATAACAGGAGGCAATTTTAATTTAGTGAAGTAGGATTGTTTCATTTCATATTTGAAAGTGGCATAATTTTTTGATTCTTTTATTACATTTGATAAGCCATTTCACAGTTTAGAAGATGATGGAATAAAAGTCTTTCACTTCCTCTTCTTAATGTTGTTCATTAGTTCAGTTCAGTTTCATTAGTTACTCACTCCATTGACATAACTGGATTGTGCAATGAAATAGATTAGTACTGTCTGAGTAAATGAGAATAGTGACGTTTATTGGGGAATCATCGATGTTTATTTAGCTAAAAAAGAACATTTACACAGGCTTCATAACTATGGACAGTTAATCGATTGGAAGACTGTGGCTCTGAATTAATATTGAATAAATATTTATTTGTGCACGGTCTTCATCCGAATAGTTACCGATTCGCATTTTTCCGTTAACAAAAAAAAAGATGTTTTCAGTGTTTTGTTAACAGTTACGGAAATGCGAACGAGTTTTTAGTAAACGGAAAGTAAGTCTAGAAATATACTGAAATGTTAACTGTAACTAACTAAGTGGGAAAGAAATTATGTGAAACGTAGAAGGACTTTCAGAACAGGGTTGATCGAATGGCACGTTTTTACTTAAAAAGTCAAAACTTATAGATGCATGAAATAGAAAGAAAAGTTAATCTTGATCTAAACATAGTTTATTTGACTCAACAAAGCGAGTAGGTCCATTACATGTTGAGAACAGTCGAATAGAAAAGTTGATTATCACATAAACATACTAAAAACATACGCTTACAGAGAATCGTAGATGGAGAGAAACAGAGAAGAAACAAAAATAAAGACAGTGAAATAGAGAGAGTGTATAGAATAGAACAATAAAAGGAACATAAATTTTCTCTAACAAAGAATAATACCAATATGAAATGGATACAATTTAAAAACATAAAGGTGTGTACACAGTTTGATACATTGAGAAACACTAAGCTCTACTGCAAAAGGGGTTACGTCTATATGGGATCTCGTATTCATTTTACTGGTGCAGAAGTTACAACACATGACGGACGAAAACGATTTGTAGTTTTAATATAATATATAACCGAGCTAAAAACTATTTTTATTTTGTCCCTTATCTAATTTCAACGCAGATTTATCACGCAGTAAAAAGTGATTGAGATTTATACTTTTGGTATCCAAAACTTCTTGAAAAACATGTATCAATAGCGCACGTTGTGTATTGTATAGAGGACATATTGCGAAAAAGTGTTCTACTATTTCACTATTAGATCCACATACACAACTCACATCTGTTACTAAATTCCGCTTCAACAAGTACTGATTCAACTGACTAAAACCAACTCTACATCGCAAAAAAGCGATTCTATCAATAACAGGAGGCAATTTTAATTTAGTAAAGTAGGATTGTTTCATTTTATATTTGAAAGTGGCATAATTTTTTGATTCTTTTATTACATTTGATAAGCCATTCCACAGTTTAGAAGATGATGGAATAAAAGTCTTTCACTTCCTCTTCTTAATCTTGTTATTTGTTGTGTATTATGGCTTCTCAGAGTCACAATAGTAGTTTGTGTTGAAGGTGGAATAAGAGAATGTAAATCAGTTGCACCTTTTAAAATTTTATAAATAAACATAGACGATGAATAGTGAAAAAATCATATTTGATAGGTATAGGTGGAAATATGTCTTATTTTTCTTGTTTGATAAAAAATGGTACCCATCCTAATTTAGCACACACTTTTTCATGTGAGCTACCTCTCAAAGCTCCAGAAACGGCCAAACCTGCGCCATATTGAAGAGAATTTAATCTGTGAAGATTTGTATCTATTGTTCCACAGTAGAGTACACGAGCATGATTAATACAACTTAAAACAAATGCATTATAGACTAAATTTAGCGCTTGACGTGATAATTCGAGACTTAAAAAATTAAGAGAACCACCTGCTCTTCCAATTGAAGTTATTATATTATCTATATGTGATGTCCAGTCAAGACCATATGTCAAAGTGAGTCCTAAAAGTTTATACCCGTCTACGTAGTTTAAACAAATATTTTTTATTGTTAAAGAAGGTATATTAGTATGTATGGTTCGTGAGAATAACATTCCTAGACGCTTGTTGATGTTTAACGGCAGAATCCGATCAGTTGACCACTTATGTACTAAAACTAGATCTTTATTTATTTCTGCTACTGCTGCGACCAGATCCTTAGCATCTACATAGATGGAAACATCGTCAGCAAACAGGAAGCATAAATTAAATAGTGAATCTGGAAGATCATTTATTTATATTAAAAATAGCAGAGGGCCGAGCAAGCTGCCTGTGGCACAGAACATGAAATATCCAATTCTGATGACGTACTACCATTCACTACTGTCACAATTCTGCGGACGAATCAACGTTCAGGGCCGAGTCGCTTTTCATGTTATAGAGAAATGTTTCATCTGCTTAATTATCTAGTTGTCATTTTAGATTAGTTTGTAGCCTTATAGCAATAACTTTTTGAAAAAGATCAAAAAATGGAGGCCGACTGATGTTTCAGGATGGTTGTCTGTTCGTCTGTGTGTGTGTGCCTGTGCGCAACATATGGAAAAATGGCTGTCAGATATTTGTTTCTGTTTCTCTGCAATTCGGAGATAGATGTCACCAGAAATCAGTTAGGTTTGATAACAGAAAACAGTCATCTAAGAGTAATAAAACTTAGAGAATATAGATAGTCTAACATGGCGAAACGAATAGAAATGCTTTCGACCCCATGTTGATCTTTATAGGGTGTTCAGAAAAGGATACCATGTTTTTGGAAAATCACTTTGCTAGTTGAAGAAGCTTTAGTATTTTTTCGATCAAAATGAGTTCATTTGATGGCTCAGGATCTCGTCCACAACACTATGCAAGTCGCACAGTTTCCCGTTCTTCTTCTCACGCACTGACAATGTTTGTTTTCCGAAAAAGCTTCAAAAAACTGGTGAAAACTTATACTAGACGAAATAATCTATCTTTTACTATTTGCACCAATAATTAAAAACTCACAACTCGCTCAAAGTTGTTCCAAACTGCTTCAGAATATCAATATATACTCCATTTTATCTGTTTAACCATGTTCTGTAGTAGAGATTACTAGTAAACATTCTCTTATTGCGAAAGCTTTCCAGAAAACGTTTCAAAAACCGAAGTATTTTGTGTTGGTAAAAGCACGAGGAAATGGACAAAAGGAGGAGAAAAGTTTATTTAGGAGGAAAGGAGGACGAGTATGATGCAAGCTGGATGCTCATGCCTTCCTTCGGTCGGCGTTCGCATCATCTGGGATTTCAAAAAAACAATTTTATAGGCAGAAATCTACCAGATGAAATAAAGGTAATGAATGATTTAGAAAGGCATCTCATAGCTGTACAACTACCATTTATGAAAATGATAGTTTTATCGAAAAGCAGACAAAAAGGATGTAAAGGTCCCGTAATTTGTGTTCCGTCTGAAGTTCGAGATACAGCAAATGTTCTTCCTCGACACCCTAGTGCAAGCAGCGTTCATTCGACTAAAATTAAAACCTCGTCTAAATTATCGCGGATACTATAAGTCTCAAACTATTCAGCCTGATAATGTTCGTTCTGCTCTTCATGTTTAACAAACCTGAGAAACATAGGAAACAGTGAGTCATAGGTAAATCATGGAGTAACAACACAGTATATCATGATGCAAGTACAAGGAAAGAAGGAAAACGTTTATAGAGAATGGTATGAGGAAAGGAGATGACTAGCGGAAGTTCCGATAAACGACCTATGTACAACTAGAAAAAGAAGCAATGAGAAAGAAAAAGCAGTGGCCACCGACCGACATCCAGCCTCGAATCTAGCTCAAAATTATACCAAAATGTTCGTTGGCATATGCTGCATCTATGCTCAGTGCACAAAAATGCACACATTTTTCAAACTCGAGTTATAGATTTTTCTAAAAACCTTGTGTTTTGAGGTATTCTCCATTTTTCTCAATACGGAAACGCTTTTTTAACAAAAATTCAGGACAAGGCCACTCAAGGATTTTTCATCAAAGAATTTCACTTTTCTTCTGTTAATACGTGACATATAATAACATAATATGATGAGAAAATAATCATTTTTTAACTCAAAAAACCCGATGTTCGGCTGCTCGATGGGAAAATGTCCACTGTGCATATCAGATGGATTATACTTTACATGGTCTCTGCCAAAAATTAATCATGCACAAGTTCTACGTTAACCAATTAGAATTGTTCTTTACAGTTAGATTTGTTTCAATGTCATGGTACAATTTCCAAATTATGAGTTGTTCTTGCCAGGGCTTGACATAGTGAAATGTAATTGGATTATTCAAATTTTCTCTATTAAAACTAAATTTAATGGTGTTGCTATTATTTGTTTTAATTTGCTTTAATGGTGAAACTGTTTTAAATTCATTTCGATGTGTTAAAGTGACATTTAATAATTCAATCAAACAAACACTAAACATTACATCAAAATATTTCATATCACCATTATCCCATTTAGACGATGTATAATTGAAACATTTTGGTAGGATGGGTAAAATATATTTAGCCATCTCTGACGATATTAAATAGCCACCACCGCCACAGATTCGAAGAAAAAAAGGTGAACTTCCATGATAATATGGATGTGGACATGCAACACAAGCTAGTAACCACATTTGATCATGATAGTACTGGTTAACTAAGGCTAAAGTGTTATTAACAACAATATATCCATCATCATCTACAATCATATACCATTTAATGTTTTGTTTAAAACCCATTTCAAATATTTTCAGCATACCTAGACACAGCAATAATCAAAAATATAAAATCACTTTTGAAACGTTAGATAAAATGCAAAGGGACAACTAGTTTCTAATATCCGAAAAAAGTTAAATGTGGATGAATCATCAGAAAAAACGGTTGTGGTAAGTATTTAACTTTTCTCCCTTTTGACTATATAGAACTATCTGTAAAATTTGTCTTCAATGTTTTACTTTGTTCCCTAAATTAAAAATATTGCTGTAACAATACTGTAAATGATTAAAACAACCAAGTGTCTAAGCATCTATTCCATGAGCGGGCAGTACAGCGTCCGCTCTAAAATCGCAATTCTGCACTAATTTCATCGAATACTAAACACTTTATATTTCAATCAAATTCGCTCAATAAATCTCAGATACAAACACGATAGCACCCTGTAGATGAAGAAAACAGAAAACGAGAGGAAAGTCGAACTAAGTAATAAAATGACTTTTCACTTATCTGTAAGAAAAAGATCCTACCTATGTAAACGATCTCTTTCGATTTTGCACACTGCCATCAGGAAAAGCAGCTCAACTCAGGTATATCCTAAAATGTGAGCTTATTTTTTGATTTTCGTTTTTAGCGTTCCCATTCAGCACTTACAGAGGACTGAAACATCTAGAATCCGTTTTCTGACCTTTACCAATGTACTTATTTCTTTACTTTTTCTGAGTACGTAGACTAAAAAGGGTACTCTAGTAAATAAAAAATACGACGATGCTGATACACTTAATTTTAATGCAGCACCGGTCAATACTTAGCTCATTACTTCTTCACCAAACATTATATGGAAGTGGAAACGATTACCTATCTCTTGGAAGGCACCTCCTCCTTCTACAACATGCTGAAGGACGAATTATATATTTTTATAAAGAACTGTGTGAACTAATTTTTTTCTCCCGAAATTATACGCACCGAAGTGAATAAGTGGCTCATACGCTATGCTCCAAACACTCCTTCTGTTTACCTAGAATCCATTTACGTTGACTTTTCCAGTAATCAGCTGTTTTGTTCATTACTTGTAAGATCGGTAATAAATTATCATCAGAATCACTAATAAAATGTAAATTTCCGTATGGAATTTGGTGACTACCCCATGTTGACATGATTATATCACATCGTTTACGATGATATATTCCACCTGTTATCACCATTACACTTATATCAAATATAGTTGTTCTGTTAGAACTACTTAATTTATCATGCTGTTTTCTAATTAATATTGAACTAGAAATCCATTTATCATATAGCTGTTTGTTCCACAACAGATCACCTGGTACGTTGTTTTCATTAATATGTTGAGTATTTGGATCTATCGTCACGAATTCTATTTTATCTAATAATTCTGGCTTTTCTTCAACATTTCTTTGTTTTAAGAAGATAATTAGTAAGTAGAAGAAACCAATTAAAATTATTAAAATATAGCATTTTTGCCTTCGGACCAAAACAGACACTAAAAAAACTGGAGAATTCGTTACGGTAGAAGAGTAATTTACACTTAGATCTACCCAAGTGTACCTTCTTGCTTCATTCGCGGCGCGAACGAGGATCACGCTCTGCGATCCCTAAGAAGTCGCTATTGTCGCGGAGCGTTTGGGACCAACTCTTATTTTACAAAAAACTCGTAATTCGCGCACGCGACGCTACAGTAGCGACTTTTTGGCGATCGCGGTGCATCTTCGCGATCCGAGTGCGATCGCTGTAAGAAAAACTTATCAGATCGCGAGCGTATATTTCTCTTACGATCAGTCGCGTCACGCGTACGCCATTCGTCTGTGTTCCTGGTAAAAGAAGCGTGGCTCCAGGGGTGGATTCAGCATTCTACCGACAGGGTGGCGATTTCTAAACGATGTCGTCTGATGTAGTATAAATATTTTTTCTAAGGAAGTCTGGTAATGTACTTGCATTAGAATTCCATTTACGAGAGGGCGGCGCTCGCCTGACCGCCGTAGTGCCTGATGCACCACTGCGTGGTTCATTTACTGATATTAGACGGAAAACCCGAATAAATAGTAACTGTAGTAAAATACTCAAAAGTCATTGATTTTTGTATGAGCGCGAAAAAACAGCGATCGCTACAAATCGCGTCTTATTTCGCGAGTCTTACAGCGAACACGTTATGCGATCCTGCCGCAAATTTTTTAAGCGACTCGCGCCGCGATATGCGAAAAGACAGTGGCCTTGAGTAAGTCATATGCTTTTGTCACATCTCAATAGTACCATTGAAGTACATTGCAGATTCGATCTTTACTTTCAACAATATTCGAAATGTAGCACAATAGATTACGTTTTTTGCGTTTAAGGAAGAGAGTCTGTAACTCATTCTTTGTTTTCTGCAACATTCTATTAAAAAGATCTAGTGTTACTTTTGTTTTCCATTTCTCTAAGCCCTTTTTGTAATAGCAATGTACATATCCGCGAAGTAGCAACATCTTGTCGTAAAATGCTTGGTGTTATTTATTAATCGAGTTTTTGGGAGAAGCACTACCCATACTGGATAGTACTTAACAAATTATGGTCAAGAAGAAAAGATAACAGCTGCTTATGAATAATCTTCTCAAGGATCTTACTTACAACGCTTAGAAGTGAAATTGGGCGAAAATTTTCGATAAACGATGAGTCTCCTTTTTTATATACTGGCTACTTTCCACTGACCTGGAAAAATCCCTGATGAGATTGAAAGTCTAAATATGTGTACTGATATTTTTTCTTATCTTTCTTAACCCTTGTCCAGTTGGACCCATCTTACAGTTTTGGGTTTTTTTGCTCGGCAATATTCATCACTTTCGAGCTGCTCCCTTTCCTAATCGCTAATCTTCTATCCATGCACACTAGCTATATCAAGTCTCGTCAATAAGTCTTACAGACAAAAAACTGAAGTGTGGGTCCGCATAGATCCGATAACAACCATAGTGTTATACTACGATTTTCTTCCTTTTCTCTCAGGATTGCTGTTAGTTTTTAAAGCGAACCGCCTCCGTCATCGCTCCTGCCAGGGGTGATACTGTTTTTCTCTCCTATTCATGACTCTTTTACATTTCTTAGCCGGACTAAAGTAAAACTTTATCATTTTTAAGTATTATAACATTAGAAGTTCAGGAGTCCAAGAGCTCCTGTAAAGCTCAGCGTCAGCCAGTTTTCATATCCATCATCTCACTTAACATCTAATTCGTATATAAAGTGCCGATCAACGATACATCTCATATTTCTCAGGTCGACATGGATGCACGCTTTGTTAAACATACATTACTTGTGATCTTGAATAATAAATCGATATATATATAAGCTCTCGAGTATCAAAGCAACAATAAAAAAAAGATATAAATATCACGGTTGAATTACAATATTCGACTAGGAGTAAATAAATCTTAAATATAAATAATGAAAAGACAATTAAAAACTATCATCTCAACTACGTTGGATAAAAATGATGCAGAATGGGTAGTCAACCATGAGGAATCATAAAATGGCTATGAGGAACCTTTAGGATCGATTCTATTGGTGGAAGCTTCATCTTAGCGTAATTGGATGAAAATGATATTCCCTTGACTTTTAGTTAGGATATTACAAGATGATTGTCTGTTCGTCTATGTGTGTGTGTGCGCGCGCAAAATATGGAAAAACGGCTGTGAGATATTTTGTTTTGTTTCTCTGCAGTTTGGAGATAGATGTCGCCAGAAATCAGTTGATTGTGATACCACAAAAAAGTCATATATAGGAGTGGCCCTTTCCTTTTACTACTCAGGTCATGCCAAAAGCAGTGAGCCAGAAATCTTATTTTCGTATAGAAGGCTTGAGGAAATTTTGTTTCTATATAGTCTGATAGAGGAAAAAATGCTCTATTTTTCTATGCTATTTGATCATAGTTCAACTAATATTATAATAATAAAGTTGGATAAGACCTGTTTTGTTCGAATGTGTCACGGTAACACGAATCCTAGTGAGTATTTTTTGAATAACTTTCGCTAGAACGAAGACAGAGAACTTCGGTTTTCACCATTGGGAAGAGGAGATGAAGATGCATCGAATCATGTATTAAAGGTTTTTTTACTATTGTTTTTTGAAGTAGTTTTATTCAATTTTCTAACTGTTGGAAAAGTGTTTTTTTAATAAAAAAAAAGGAAAAAACACAAAAGTCAGCTTTTTTCACAGAAATTGCTAGAAAATCATATTAGAGCCTCGACAAGAATACATATTATTCATCTCAGCCTTCGGCAGTTTGTAGATCTTCGATTAATGATTTGAATCTATACGTATTAATTGAAAATTCAATGTGAACAACTTACCAGATAGGTTTGTTCTTGAAAAGATCAATTGAAAACCTTACAAAAAATGAATTAGGACACCCTGTGACATATGATTCGATGCATCTTCATCTCCTCTTTCCAATGGTGAAAACCGAAGTTCTCTATCTTCGTTCTACCGGAAGTTATTCAAAAATACTCACCAGGATTCGTGTTACCGTGACACGAAATATGTGTACTGATTTTTTTCTCAGAACTAGTAGGCATAACTGTATAAACTTTAGCGAAAGACCATCAACTCCAACGCTAGCGATGGTTTTCATAGCCCCTACGGCTTCCAGTACCGCGGTTAGGTCAACGAGTATATCAGAAATAAATGGTCCCACAAAGTTGGGTACTGTTCCAGACGTAGAGAAAACATTTTGAACTGAGGAGTAGCAAGAATTAAAATGATTAAAAACATTTCACAAGTCTCTTTTAATGATGAAGAGGTATGGCTAGTTTGATCAGTAATAAATTGGGGAATAGTCAGCTTTCCATTACGAAACTTATTGACAGATTACCAAAAACGTGTTGCATCTTTAAACAGGGAAACAATGTTTTTAAAATGGACCACTTTTTCGGCGAGATCAAGAATATATGGCGCCTTTTAAGTCTTTCCTGAAAGTTTCCTTGAGGCATGAGATTTGATCGAGATATAAGGATTTTAATTTTTGCTAGTAACAGAGGAAATATCGGTTTTTCACAAAAATGCCTGTGGCGAAGTTATATTCATTTCTATACAAAAACAAATGTTGCCACTATGCTCAGCGTAGTCGATTACCTATATTCGATGGCATTTCGAGATTCCCAGAGATGTCTGTTCGAAGATAGACACGTGCTCGGGGAAAGCGAGTCCTGTTCGAACGACGATAGCTGGAGAGTTGGAAGTTGCATAATTTTGTAGAGTAACGCCCGGCCTATCTACGCATGCAAAAAATTACTAACATTGTATGTTAGTTTTCTGAGAACGGAGCTGGTTTTCCAAAGATCCTCTGTAAACTCGATCTCTGAAATTCTTTCAAAAGTTGTTTCCGCTTGTGAAAAGTTTCGCTCAAGGCTAGGCTATCAACGAGCGAATAGTGATCTCATTTCCGTCAAAATTTATTCAAAAAATGCCCATCGGGACTGTATTTTGGGATGGATAGTAGTAACGAGTAACTACTGCCGTTACTTCGTGACTACTAACGAAATAAGTTTCGCGTTGCTAGTCAAAAAGTAACTAAGTTCGTCAGTAGTAACGAAGTAACTGACTATTGTCGGTAAAAAAAAAGAATGGACTCGGATGTTTTTTGAATAACGTTTGACAGAAAAGTGTTAGATGCTTGAGGTCTTCACTAATCGAAAGCTAGGACCTAACTGCATCTTTTCACAATGAAAATCTTTTTCAAAATCTTTCCGTAAAGCAGATTTTTCAGGAGATCTTTGGAAAGCCAGGTCATTGCTCAAAAATTTGAAATACAAATGATTTGATTTATTTTCATGGATAGGTGGTCCAAAGTGTCCTCGTCAAAATGGGAGTCAAGCGAGACTCTGATCTTCGATCGCTTAGGGCGGGCGTCAAATTTCCTGGGAGTCCCGGAACTGGTCATTTCTCACACGTGGGAACCTCACAAATGGCTCTAGACAAGGGTTATCGGCTACGCTGAGTCTCGTGGCGGTCTCTGTTTAACAATTTAAAAGCGTTTTTACATATGAACTATCAGAACCTGTACTCAACCTAAGCTGTTATAACTACTGTA